TGGAGTATGCAGAAATAATGGGCTTTCTAACATTACAGTCTAAATTAGGATGGACTTACCCAGTCACAAACAGAGCTACCCAACTAGGGGGTCTCCCCAAGGGGGACTTTCCCTGTAGAACTGACAGCATGGAGGAACAGAATGTGTGTTTTCTCTCTAGCAGGTCCCAACCAGAAAACAGGAATGGGACTGAGCAAACTCACCAACCACATGAATCATTCCTCCCCCAGGGAAGAGAGAATGAAGGGAAGCCAGGAGTATTACTCAGATGGGAAAGTGGCTTCCAGCCTCCCATCTACCCACTGCCAAAGAACAGGTGCCCAACATTGGCACAAAAGCTCCTTTAGAGCCAAACATGAATTTGGGATTATCTCAGTCATTAACATGGATAAGAGTTTGCTCTTGTGACACTTGATTAGTGACACACTATTTTTTTTTTCTTACAGGAGATGGATTTTGTTTGTTTTGATGAAGGAAGAGATGATTTTGATAATTATAATGTAGAAGAGCTTTTAGGGTTCTTGGAATTGTACAATTATGCAACTGGGGATTCTGAGAAAGCTGTAGGAAAAACTTTACAGGATGTGGAAAAAAACCCTGAATTATCTAAGGAAAGGGAACCTGAGCCTGAACCAGTAGGAGCCAACTCAGAGGAAAGTGGCAGAGTATTCTCAGAAAAGGCAAAGTATCTTCAGGAACACTTCACAGCTCGGCAGCACCACTCCCATACAAACAGCCAAGCAGATCATGCTCAGGGAGAGCAGCCTTCATTTGAAGCTTTTGAAGAAATGCTGCAAGATAAACCAAAAGTGCCAGAAAGTGAAAACAACAAAATCAGCAATAGTTCTCAGGTCTCAAATGGACAGGATAAGATTGATGCCTGTAAACTTTTGGAAAAAGAAATGACTCTAGACTGGAAAACCACATTTGGCTCAACAGCTGATGGACTTGTATCTGATGATGAAAGAACCAGACTTGTTACTTCATTAGAAGATGATTTTGATGAGGACTGGGGCGCTGAGTATTATGCAGTTGGGAAGAAAGATGAGGAGAACCAAGAAGACTTTGATAAGCTGCCATTACTCACCTTTACAGATGGGGAAGATATCAAAACTCCAGCGAAGCCCGGAGTTGAGAAATATTCAACAGATAAACAGCAGAATTCAAATGAAGAGGATAAGGTCGAGATAACTGTGCGCCCTGGCATCAAAAATGATGATAAAAATATACCAACAACCTGGGGGGATACTATCTTTTCTCTTGACACAGGAGGTGAAGAAAAAACAGATAC